TTAAGAATTGCAAGTAACAATTCAAGTTTTGATTGTGCTTCCAAAAAATTGGAAAGAGAGAGAGCTAAACTGAAACTTTGGAAGTTAATTACCACATCCGTAGTATGCCTCCTTGAGGCCATAACGACCTTATTTTCTACATCTGCGGGCTCTCCACATCCAAACTCTTCTTTTTTTGAATAAAAAGGTATTATCACTTTCTACCTTATGCATTCAAAGCAGGCGTGGGCCTGGGTGACCGGAGTCAATTACATGAAGGTGATATTAGCGCCACACAAAACAGTGTGACCGGTTATCACCAGACCGCTGAACAGGATGCTTTACAAAGGCGAAAGGCAAAAGAAAAGAGAGAAAGAAATAAGGTTTGGTGATCAACAACTATCTCAGTGAATTTGCCCAAGACAACATAGTATGTCTGTCTTCCTCTCTGACAGCACGCGAGCTCCAGAGTGTGATGAGTTCGGCCAACTCAGCGAGCATTCGAGCCGCGGACCAAAAACAGTTGTCAAACACTCTAGCGTTCCAACCTGTCCACAAAGAGACCGAGCATGCTGCAAAGAAGATGTGCCAAAGCTTACCAAATAAATTACAATCCGCAGCTGAGAGAAAAAACTCAAGAAGTACCCAGGATGATTCGGCCGATGCCCAAAGTCCAGCCTTCTGCCAAAAGTGCTTACACTGAACAATTGAGAGAATGATAGGTGGACAGAGACACAGCTTGTCAACATTCCACCACCATAATGAACCGTAAGTGGGGCCTGGCAGAAAATTCATCATGGTTAGATCTGAAGATCAAATATTGCAACAGACTTTGCCCTCTTAGAATTAACATGGAGGCCTGAAACCTCCAATTAGTAAAAAATAACCTCCTATATCAAAAGAAATGCTAGATCGAGGAATATGTTATGCTAAACCTGGAAATGACCAGATTTCGTGATTGTGGGGATCATCGAGAAATCAGTAAAAAAACATACTAAAGCAAAATCTGAATAGGAATCAACCTGCAATTACCATACGGCAAGTTGGCTGAAATTACTCAATGTCCATACCTATTTTGAAGTATAGACGTACTTCCTCCGTTCGGAATTACTTGTCGCAGAAATGGATGTATCTAGACATATTTTAGTTCTAGATACATCCATTTTCGAGACAAGTAATTCCGAACGAAGGGAGTATAAGTGATACAAAATATTTAAGAGAATTGCGCACACAATGACCACCAGGCAACTGAAATTCAATTGTGTAGAGAAAAATCAAGGACTACTGAGATGATTCTGTCGCGGTTGCTGGCGAATCCAACTCCTCCTCCAACCGCCACCGCGCACAAGAGGTCCTCCTCCACGCCAGAGCTGACGATCCGGGCCAAAGCACGGCCCGCTCCCGCTCCCGCCCCGGCCCTGCAAGGCGGAGCCGCTGCCGTGGGCGAAGGAGGAGCCCATCACCGGTGCAGATCCCCAATCCACAGGTGGAAGCCCCTGCCGGCGTAGAGAAGGTGATGGGAGGGAGGAGAAGGCGGCGGGCGGCCGTGGGATAGAGGAGCGGCGAGGTCGGCGGCCGAATCGGGGGAGAGTGATGGAGACAAGGACGTAGGGAAGGAAACGAAGTTGCGTGGAAATTCAGTCATCCAATCCTCGAACACGTCCACAGCCTATGTTTTTTCTATGCGAGAAACATTATCAATCCCCACCGAGCACTGCTTGCCACGTGGACAGCGCGAGGGTCCGCCCATTACGCAACTGTTAATGGGTTGTATGTGCAGACAAAATCGTCCAGGCGCGAACCCGTGAAACAAAAGACGAACAACCCAAGCGAGCGCGAATCAACCCAAGCCAGCTTTATAAAAGGCAGAATGACAATTATAAGAAGCTAACACTCGCTGCGAACAGCAAACGTAGCCCACACACCACACCCTGGAAGAATCAAAAACGGCCACCACCGCAAAGCAACTACAAACAAAAAGCACCTATCCTAAACTGAACATAGCACCACGTCACGACCGACACCGGACGCCTTCAAAGACCACACTTCCATAGAGCCTCTCTTGTCGGCGCACCACCCCCTCTAAACGCCAAGGAGGCAGAGGCAAGAGGATGGCAGGACTCGATCCGAGGAAGACACCGTCTTGGACAAGCCAGTGATGGGCATACATAGCGCCGCCGAGGATCTGGAAAGGACCGCAGCGAGCACTAGAGGAGAACCACAAGGAAGCAACCATGTCTCCAAACACTATGCTCCTAACGGAGGAACGACGTCAATGACGCCGCCATCGTGCTGATCCAACTCCGGATCGAGGCTTACGCCCGGAGACAATCACCAACTCCAATAGAGTGAGGGAAGTGATGAACATGCCTCGGCGACGCCTCCAAGGAGGAGAATGACAGCCACAGGTGCCACCGCCGCCGGCCTGGCCAAAGCCAAGCAAGATTTTCATCCGCACGTCGCCCATCACCACATCTCCAGGAGCTTGGGGAAACCGTGCAAGTGTCCACACACCGCCGCCGCAGCAGCACCTTGTCGACGCAGCCGTGAAGCCAAGGGCCGGTGACTGAACACACGGCAAGGGGGAAAACTCGGCCACACCACCAACTCCAACTCCGAGCCTAGACGGAGAACCGCAGCCATCCCATCCTTCGACAAGGTCCAGAACCACCCGCGACGGCCGTCGCCCACTCCAAGGGACGGCCTTGCGATGGTCAGACATGCCTCAACACTCCCAAGCAACACCACCAGAAGGCATCGATGCTCGCCACACAGCACAGGGATAATTGGGCGCTCGTTGCTCGCCAGAACTCTGATCTAGCCGAGCCATCTCAGCGACGTCACCCGCCTGACCGTGGGTTCACACTGCCGCCTCAAGTCAGCGCCGCCTCCACCAGCACCGTTTACCGAAAGAAATTATACACTTCTCGTTAATTTGTCTCGAAGCCACCTACAAAGATGTGGGTGGTTAAGAAAGCCCAATTCTTCTACAGGGCTATGTCTCCGGGTGTACTAAATGGATAATGGATAGTGGATGCGCTTCTACAGTAGAAATACCCCCCTCCCCCCAAAAAAGCTATTTGAGTGCCTAAGAAAACTGTTGATGCTTTGCCTATTACTGCTCGAATAACCATGCAAGCAAAAAGAGTTCGACAAAATGAGTATATGCATACTTACATACAATCACTATGCTCATTCATCTGGAAGGAATTTCAATGCTTATTCTTTCAAGTATGCTCGTACTTCATCGAGCATCAGCTGCGGAGATGGTGGTGTCAACGCCTCCTGCGTCAACCATGCCTCCCGTGACGTCCATGTCTTCATGCGCCCCCTCATTTCCTGCGACATTGGCGGTTGCAGGCGGCGGAGCCTTTGAGGTGGACGGGTGAGCTGTAGCACCGGGTTTCTTCTTGGGCGCCATAGTTGATGGAGCCGTTGTGGAGGCGACAGATGAGATCTGTTGTCTTTTATGAAATCGGCTATGTGCATGATTGATGAGATCAACTGCACATGGGGATCGATGTGCCTATGTTTTCTATCAATCGGAATCGATGAGGTCGTGACACAACGTAAGAACTGGATAGTAGATTGCCCGGACGCCGAGGTCATTGTCGCCTTCAAGCACAACATCCGGGATGAATTGCTGGCTCGATAGCTCGGCCATTAAAAACCACGGAAAATGTCCGCACTTACCTCCTTAATGACCCGCTTTTGTGCGGGGGAAGATAGTTGACTGGCTCGTAGAAGCTCCAACCCAACCGTTGTACCATTGCCGGTCCTTGCCAGACCAGCTGCTCCACCACGCCCCCTGCCAAGCTCCAGTCGACTCCCTCATTCCCGACCAGCCAGATCTGACCCGGCCCGAACACCTCAATACGATGTGTGACGCGCTTGAAGCAGCCAACCCACACCGCTGCGACGCGCCGTGGCCGGCCCGCGCGCTACGTCGCCCAGCACACCACCTACCTGCGCGCCTCACCCAGCCATGGCGTGCCGGCCTCCAAACGCCGGCCTCCGAACTTGGATCGATATACGAAAACTTGTTGTTCGACCAATCTCTCGGAGAAAGAGAGGTCACTTCTCTCTGTATATGTTCATGTGGATCTTGTGTAATTAATGGTTCCTTCATTTGCTTACTAGCTAGCGTGTCGAGTTCTCTCTATATGTATAGAAGCTAGGGTCGACCAGGCACGGATAAAGAGAGGTCACTTTTCTCTACTAGCTAGCTAACACAATATGATCAAACCCCTAAATTAACCTTCCAAAACCCCTCCAAAACCCCAACCCTCCCCCCTTAATAAAAACAAAAACCCCAGCGCTCTTAGAGGCCTCCAAGTGAGGCAGGTAGGTAGGAGGTGGCCACGCACCTTCGTCCTCCTGACAGGGGAGGTAGATGATAGGGAGGAGGCTGCTAGGCTGGGCCAGGTAGTGGGCCGCCAGGTGAGTTTTCCCTTTTATTCTTTTTCTGTTTTTCTTTTCTGCTGTAAGTTTTGATTTAGTAAAAATATTAAACCATTTTTCTTCCTTTTGATAATTTTTGTAGGGACTAGATGGACTATTCCATAGCCCCTCACAATTTTTCAGAATTATCGAAGCTATAAATTAGCCCCATTTCAAATGCATTATGGGTTAACTCAAATACCAGAAATGTCCTAGGTAAATGTGCACCATTCTGGTTTAGGTTTCCACCTTGCGCCATAATCATGAACATTTTTAATGCATTGTGGGTGCATTGAAAATATTTTTGTTGCACCTATTTGAATTCCATTTGGTGCTAGGGTTTGATCATTCCCAATTCAAGTTTTATTGAATTTAAACATGATGCAAACAAGATGCTAACACTAGGTGCATACCAGAGTAGGGATGTGACACCGGCAAAAACCCGATTCAAACAATAAGAAATCTCCCAAAAAACTACATATAAAATAGAGACCTCATTGTTGCAAATAAAATGGGCCCAATGACAAACAAACACAAACTAAAGTGACATGCATACACACATCTATTGTTGCAGGCTCATATCATTCTAGCTCAAATGTCTCAAGCCGAGGCCCTCCATGCTCCCCTATACGCTTACCAGCAAATAGAAGGTATGCATCTCTGATTGCATGCATCTCTGACGCTGCATCTCTTGTCGGTGCTCGGTCTTGAGCTCGTGCCTTTGAGCAGGATATGCCAAGCCTCAAGACTGAAAGCAAGCACTCCTGGATTCTAATACTTGTAGTGTTATCCTGTTGTCCGTTGTGTAGCCAGATTGTTGGGTCAGCTATCTCCAAGGTTCTATCTGGAAGAGCATCCTCAGCAAACTTATGCAGATCCAATGAATCTCTGAACATGCCTTCCGTTGGGCTCCTTCCGGTAAACATCTCAAGCAGCAATATGCCAAGACTATAGATATCACCGGGTGTTGAGACGGCAGATCCTTCTCCGTACTCTGCAATTATGAAAAAAATTGTGGTTAGCATGCCATATTGGAGTGAAAAGTAAAATATAAAATTAGAAGAGTCCTAGTCACCTGGAGCAACATAGCCTATGGAACCTCTGATTCCAGTTGAGCTATATGAAGTTTGCATCCCCTCACTCGTATTTTCTTGAAGGATCCTTGATATGCCAAAGTCTCCAACTCGTGCGCTCATGTCTTCATCAAGAAGAATGTTGCTTGGCTTAAGGTCACAATGGATTACCAATGATTGACAGTAGTTGTGCAGATATTCTACCACATCCATAATATCGACAACAATATCAAGTCTCTGGGCAAGGCTGAGCGTGTTGTTTATAGTGGGCTCTTGTGATTTTGGATGAAGCCAACCATCCAAGCTACCATTGGGCATGAACTCAAAAATTAATGCCTTGAAATCTTGACCTTGGTGGTTGATGCTTGAACAAGACGTAATGATCTTAATTAGACAACGGTGTCGTATCCTTCTCATGGCCTCGCACTCAACCTGAAAACTCTTGGAATACCTAGAGTGATTGAGATTAAACACCTTGACGGCCAATGTTCTTTCTTCATTATCCAAAATACACTTATAAACCACACCATAACTTCCTCTTCCAAGCAAGTTGGCTTCTGAAAAATTGTTAGTTCCTCTCAATAATGCATGATAGGGGATTCTCTTGTAATGGTGATCAGCAATTGAATTTTGTGCTAATATCTTCTGGCTTGGTTTGAGCTTCTTGCAAAGTATCCAAACAAGAAGAATAACTAAAAGTGAAAACAAGATTGCTCCAGCTGTCACTAGAGAGATTACAAGAGACTTTGGCATCTTTTTTTTGTTCTTTCTTATGTAGCATGGAGCCAAATGAAGTTGAGGTATACCACCACACAAATTGGCATTCCCATTAACTGCTAAGTAAGTGATGTTTCTGAAAACACCTTCATTTGGCACCTCACCTTGCAAATTATTGAAGGATATATCCAGTTCAGACAATGATGTCAAATTCTGTAGAACTAATGGGATTGACCCAGACAAGTCATTGTGTGCTAGGTACAATCCCCTCTAGGTTTTTAATGCTACCAAGGGCCTCAGGAATATTACCAGAGAACTTATTCATGGTTAGGACCAGTATACGGAGCCCCTTTATATTTGTCACTGACTGAGGTATGCTTCCCTCAAATGAATTGTTGTATAATCTTAGAGATTCCAATACTATGCAATTTTGAATGCTGTCAGGTATCTTGCCAGACAACCGGTTTCCTGATAGAGCAAGTCGGTTAAGATTTGACAAACTACCAACTTCATTAGGAAGGGGTCCCGAAAGGGAATTATATGACAAGTCCAAGTACCTAGAAAGGCTAGGCAATTTAAAAATCTCTCTAGGTATTGAACCATTAAGTTTGTAGTTCATTGACAGATCGAGTACAACAAGTTTTTTCAACTCCCCGAGGCTTGCCGGAATTGGCCCCTCCAAGTTGCCATGGAATGCAGAAAGGATACTCAACTGCGAAAGGTTCCCTAGCGATGATGGTATGAGGCCAGACAAGCTATTATTATGCAAGGCTAGCTCGATCAATTTTACTAGCTTACCGATGCTCTCAGGAATCACTCCGGATATCGGAGTATTTGCTATCACAAGTAATTCCAAACCAACCAAGTTGCCGATGTCCGCAGGTATACTCCCAATGACCCTATTGTCATGTAAGTTTAACCGCTGGAGAGTCGTTGAGAGGTTCACAATTGAACCCGGTAGTTGTCCTCCAAAGGAATTTTTATATAGTGCCAATTGCTGCAGTTGGCTGCAATTTGCCAAGGATGTTATAAATTCCCACCCCTTGTTGTCATTCGCTTCGATTTCATTGTTACGCAACTCCAAATATTGGAGAGCTCCGAGCCTCCCCAATGTGGGAGGCATATACCCACTAAATTTGTTCTGTGTGAGGTCAAGTGATATGAGGGAAGATATGTTGGATATTGAGGAAGGGATGGTTCCTGTGAAGTGATTGAAACCCAAGCCAAGCCTTTCCAACTTGGGGAGCTTGCTTCCGATATCATCCGGAATGCTTCCGGACAACATATTCGACCCGACATCAAATACTTCCAATGATGACCAGTTGTAAAGAGAAGGTGGGAGCATACCGTGGAGGTTGTTTTCGGCGAGATTGAAATATAGCATGCTCTGGGAACTTCCGAGCCCTGGTGGGATTGAGCTCACAAGATTGTTTCCGAAGAGAGTGAAATATCGCATGCTCTGGATGGTTCCGAGCCCATGCGGGATTGAACCAGTGAAATGGTTATAAGTGAGTTCGAGGACCTGTAGATGGGAAAGATTGGCCAGTGATGCCGGGATGGAGCCTGTGAAGCCGTTGTTTCTCAGCGTGAGCACTGTGAGGTACGTGAGCTTCTCGCCAAGCTCAGCCGGGATGTGCCCGCCAAGCGTGTTGTTGCCCAGTCTCATTTCAGTCATGCTGATGCAGGAGCTTAGGTTTGCTGGCAATGTGCCGGAGAAGGAGTTTTTGCTCAAGTAGAGCCACCGCAGGCGACGGAGGCGGCCGAGGCTTGCTGGAATGTCCCCGTATAGCGAGTTGACACCCAGGTCGAGCATCCGCAGGAACGTGAGGTTCCCGATTGCCGGGGAGAGCGCTCCGGTGAGCCCGGCGCCGCTCAATCTTAGTTCCACCACCCGCGCAGGCCTCCGGTGGTTGCATGTCACGCCTTTCCAGCTGCAGAAGCCGGTGCTGCTGTTCCAGGAGGGCAGCGAGCCGCCATGGCTGAGGTGCGCTTTGAAAGCAAGCAATGCGGCCTCATCGCCGGCGTTCACAAGGACGATCAACAGGACGGCAACAAGTGAGCATAGCAAGCTCATGGCGATGCGATCACCTCTATTTTTGTGTCCCTCTTTGCATGTGCTCTTGGTTTGGTTTGGAAGAAGCATTTGCGTGTTCCATATATATGCTAGCTTAGCTTAGTTGGTCATGTGGGTGTTGCAAGTGCTGTGGTAATAATATTTCTGTCCGTCAGCACAGCTCTCAAAATCTCCACCTTTTGTACCATCTGTCAGCAAAGCAAAGGCTGTTGAGCAAAGACTTATGGTTTTGAAAAAGTTGGTAGTATGACCGTAAGTCCGTGTAATCTTCCAGTCTCCGATGTCTTATAATTAACCTTTACATGTATTGGGTCATACAAGTCCCTGATGAAAGGCCGGCCCTGATGGGCATGTTGCACTTGATAAACGGAGGTGAAGAGCAGGTTCTAGAGCAGCGAAGGGAACTGCCTCGAGGAGCGGCGACGTGGTGCGCCCATCGGTGGGGAGCCTGGCCAACGCCGGCGGCGGCAACGTGGAGGCGGCCGCTCCACTCGGTCCTCGGCGGGGGCGGATCGTCTCGGATCTCGACGGTGGGAGAGGCGGCGGCGGCGGCGTCTCCCTTAGGAGTAGAGATTAGAAACTAAACCGGTGGGGTAGGGGGACGGGACGAAAAAAACCCAGGGAAAGTGGTGGAACGAAATAAAACCAACGAAAAATAACCGACAGACTATTCACCAATTGTTCCATTAGGAGTAGAGATAGTTAACCTTACATATATTGGGTCATACAAGTCCCTGATGAAAGGCCGGCCCTGATGGGCGTTGCACTAGATAAACGGAGGTGAAGAGCAGGTTTTGCCGGCCACGCACGTACGATGGGACCGAGTTTGCCATCCCAACACATATTTTTGCGTTGTCGTCACTGGATGAAGCTTGATGGGTTCCTCGGTGCGTCGCCGACGCCTGCCGGCCCGGAGGTAGTCTTTTTGCGCCTCCTAACTTCCTACTTTCATGAAACAAACTTTTATTTATACCAAAAAAAAAGTTTACCATTTATCAAAAAAAAAAACTTTTATTTATACCAAAGCCCACCCGTGCAATTAGATTGGCGGTTGTTAACCAATTAATTTAATTATTCTATTTTAACCTTGAAGGATGGTACAACACTCGGCCATCCAGAGCTCCTCAGCGACGCGCCGTTCCTCGCCGTCCGATCTCGGTAGATTCTTTTCTAGGCCGTTTGATCTTTGATTCTGAGTTTTACCTCGGCCTTTGTTTCACGCGCAGAAGCCGGGTGTGGGTCTCTTCCTAGGTGGGGCTGCGCGGGACCGGCGGGGTGCGACCGGTGCGACAGCACTACCACCCCTGCCGGCCTCCGGTGACGGCACGTCGCGCCTCCCCAGCTGCAGAAGCCGATGCCGCTGTTCCAGGAGGCCAGCGAGCCGCCATGGCTGAGCTGCGCTTTGAAAGCAAGCAACGCAGCCTCATCACTGGCGGCGCTCACAACAATGATCAAAAGGACGACAACAAGTTACGACCATAGCAAGCTCATTGCGGTCTGTGTCCCACTTGCATGCGCTCTTGGTTTGGTTTCCAAAAGTAGCATTTGCCTGTTCCATATATAGTAGTACTAGCTTACTTGGTCATCAAAGTCTTATTCCTGTTATAGAATGTCTCAAAATGTCCAAATTGATGCAGAGTTTACCATCATCGGATATAATATATCGGCAAGACTTGATCGCTTCGAAAAGTTAGTATGACCATAGGCTTATATAGTTTACATTGGGTCACATGAGGCCGGCGCAGTTGCAGTCTGGTATAAATAAAATATAAAATAAAAATAATGGCCTGCCGGCCGGCCCTGATGGGCATGTTGCACTTTATAGACAAGGAGGTTGTGAAGAAAAGGTTGCCGGCCGCGCATCTCGTCGTGGCCGTGCATCAACTTGTATACAAAATAATGTTGTTGCAAGAAACATAGAAGCAAGAGATATTTTTTAAGGAAGGTATCCCGGCCTCTGTATGAGAGTGATGCATGCAGCCAATTTATTAAAACAAAGTACGAAAACAAGGTCTCAGATCTGGCTCACAAAAATAGCCTAGAAATAATAAAAAGTAAAAAAAGATGCCACAACCGGCGAAAAATATAGGCTACGATGACTAACCACCTAGCCTATTATTAGCTCGTCATCCAAATAGGTTGAAAATAACCCGTGCTACCATCTCCCACCGGTTGCACCTAGTAACCAAAAATTTCTCGGAGTCCGTATGAGTGAGTAACGATCACGTACGGATCCAAGCAATGGTTCTATAGATAACCTGCAGAAAGTGGTTAAAAAATTTCCCGTTAAAGATGATATCGTTTCTGCAATTTCATATAGCCCAAAATAGTGCACATATCCCTATCCAAATATGTCCCTCAATATTTAGAGCCACTCCATGTAGCCACATCCCAAATAACGTGTTGATGCTAATAGGAGGATTTATTGACGGCTATACAAAGAGTACGCCAGAAAAGTTTGGCTAACGTACAGTGTAAAAAGTGGTGTTGAATCATTTCATTATGGTCACAAAAACAACATCGGGAACTACCGACCAATCTTCGCTTTACCAAGTTATCCTTACTTAATATTACTCCTTTGTGCACAAACCACATGAAGATTTTAATTCTAAGCGGTACTTTAATCTTTCAGATGTGGAGAGACTGCGGAATTGACCCAGAATCAATTAGGTCCAAGTACATAAATTTCACCATGAAACTACCGTTCCTAGGCTGTTCCCAATGAATGGTATCTGGTTGGTCCGAATGTTGAACATCCATCAACCTGCGGATCAAATGCAACCAAGAGTTCCACCGTTCTTCCACCAAAGACCTCCTGAATTTGATATTAAGGGGGACCGACTGTAATACTGTAGCCACATAGGCTTCCTTGCATTGTAGAATATTTTACAGTGGGATATTCGATGGCTAAGGGCGTCTAACCTGGCCATGCATCTTCCTAGAATCTAGTCATGTTACCATTGCTAATAATGAAATTTCATCCTATGAAAAAAGGTTTCTTTCATCCTCATTAACCCCTTCCAAACTGGTGAATCATTAGGTCAAGCATTAACCTGGGCCAAAGTCTTGGAATGTAGGTACTTATTACGCACAATTTGTACCCATGTTCCCTCAGTCTCAACATATAAGCTAAATAACCATTTGCTTAGGAGACACTTATTTTTAACTTCTAAGTTCTCGATCCCTAACCCACCTTGGTCTTTGGGCCTGCAAATGATATTCAATCTGGCAAATCTGTATTTCTTCTTAACCTCATCAGATTGCCAGAAAAAACAAGATCGATAGAAATCTAATTTTTCCGTACCCCTACCGGTACTTCAAAGAATGATAGAAGGAACATCGGCAAGCTAGAGAGAACCGAGTTAGTAAACACAAGCCGACCTCCATAAGACATAAGCTTTCCTTTCCAGCAACTTAGTCGTTTTTCAAATCGATCTTGAGTACACTTCCACTCCTTATTCGATAATTTGCGGTGATGAATTGGAATCCCTAAGTAGCTGAACGGTAGGGACACCATTTCACAACCAAGCAGTTGTCTGTAAGCATCATGTTCTTCTTTGGCTCTCCCAAAGCAGAATAACTCACTTTTGTTGAAATTGATTTTGAGTCCCGAGAAAATGAAAACATGAACAATAATTTGTGAACAATTTATTAAAACAGGAACATTTTTTGAAAATTGTCAAAATTTTGAAAAGAAAACATTCAAACATTTTTTGTAAAACAAGAACATTTTGGGAAATTCCCAAACATTTTTTTAAAATGCGAAATTTGTTGAATTTTGGAACAATTTTTTAAAACACAAACATTTGTTGAAATTTTGAACTTTTTAAAAATAGGAACATTTTTGGAAAATTTCGAACAATTTTCGAAAATGATCTTTAAAAAATAAACTTGAAAAAGGAAAAAATAAACGAAAAAACAAACAAAAAGAAAAAAAATAGAAAGAAGAAAAGGAAACAGAAAAGCGGAAAAAAGAAAAAGGAAAACCAAAAACCAAAAAACCCAAGAAGAAACAGGATCAAAACCAGCTGGCTAGATTTTGTATAATGGGCCGGCCCATTGCTAGCGATGCGGTGCTTCACCAGTGCGTTGCGTCGGCATTTTGACGCAATGAGCGGCGCATAGGGTTTTCCCTTCCATTCTGTGAGCTGGAGTCAACCATTTCATCCGTTAGATTTTGTTGCAGCTTCCTGTGCACTAGTTAGGAGCACTTCTTTACTTTTGTGAATCCCTTATTCTTGATAGAAATATAAAGGTCCACATCCAAATCAATTCAAAACTGAATTTACCGACTCCCGAATTTCTGACAATGCAGATGCAGGAGCCTTACATCCTCGTACGCAAATAACATGAAGTCGTCAACCGGTGGAAACAAGAAAATGCAGTAATCAGCCTTCGTGATAGGCAAGATGCCATCATATAGCTTTCCTCTGCAATCATATAGCTTTTGTGATAGGCAAGATGCCATCATATAGCTTTCTGACAATCATATGGCCTCTGAACTGCAGTGTCTTACTCCCACCCCTATATACAAAAATGAGCAAAGCCTAATCACGCTCACCCCTGCAACAAAAAATGCAGACTCTCACCTCCATGAATCCGTGCTGCGCAAGCTGCGACGCAGCGCCAAGCGCTCGGCGGACAAGCCCATGAGCTTGCGCCGCAGCTCTCGCCTTGCTGCCAAGGAGCCGCGAGTCTTCACAGACATGACCACGAAGGCCGTCCGCGCCAAGGCAAAGCGTCTCACTGCCACAGATGTTGCTAAGGCGCTCAAAGACGCCATTCGCGATGCTAAGCTCGACATCCCTGACGCTCCGCCAGCACCTGCCGCAGCACTGGCGGATATCGCCAGGCTTTGCGGGGCTGATGACGCCGCTGCGGACTCCATTGCACGTGCCGATCTCACGGATGATGGTGCTCCCGACGTTGTGCCATGATGCTCCCAATCAACCATGCATGCCTACACGGCGTCCCGACGGTGACCAGCCGTCCATACCGCG